AACTGGGGCACTGTCAAACCGCTACAATGTCACCAAATCCTTTTTAAATTCCCATTTCTGTTCTGATTTCTTCATGGACAGGTGGCTGAGCATTCACAATAAGCCCCACATTGAGAAGCCCCAGCGGGGGTCCCTGGATGGAGCTGGCCGTCTTGGGAGGGCTGCTGGACACCGCAGCTTCCCTCCCTGAGGGCCAGCGACAGGCAGGCACAGGGCACCCGGGGGAAGAAGTGGCCCCCAGAGGTCACCACCCCTAAGACTGGGCTCTATGACTGTATGTGCTCATCCCCCACAGAGGATTCCAGGAGGCCTATGCCAAGCAAACGCCCTTAGAACAAGCCCCGGGGGGTTGGAGGGGCAGCCAGTTCCTGCGGTATGAGCCCCAGGCAGAAGGAGCTTTGCGCTCTGCTCTGGAAAGGTGCTGTGGGTTCCTGCAGTGGCTACAGACCCTGGTGGTCACGCACGGCCGATGTCTGGTTGCAGACAGTTGACATGTGGCCACTCCTGGTCATTACCCTCAGGAGGGGTTTGTGTAGGCAGCTCTGAGGGGCAATGCCACCCCCAGGTACCTGAGCCCACAGCTCTAGAAGGGCTGGCCTGGTGGCTCCACTCAGCTCATCTCATGAGTTTTATTTGCTAATGACTGCTGTCCTCAGGGCCAGAGGCACAGAGACAGAGAGACAGAGACCACAAGAGACAGAGAGACAGATGAAAAGAGATAGAGTGCCAGAGACAGGCAGGGAGAGAGGGACAAAGAGTGACAAAGGCAGAGACAGATACAGAGAGCTAGAGATACACACGGGCAGACAGAGACAAGGAGGAGAGAGAGATGGACAGGGAGAGACTGAGAGACAGAGACAGGCCAGAGAGAAGCAGAGACAGAGACACAGACGACAGGGAAGGAGGAGGAAGGGGCGAGGCCAGGCCTGGGAAGGAGCACATGTCTCAGGCTAACCTGGAGGCAGAGTGGCTCTGAGAGTGGCACCCATTCGTCCTGTCTCAGGGCCCTTCCCGTCTGAGCTTCGGGGTACCCTGGGCTGTGTCCCTGCCCTGCCCAACTGGCCCCTCTCAGTCCCCAAAACATCCGTGCTGCAGCCCCCTGCCCGCCCGCCTGCTGCACACCTCTGCCTGCTCCTCATTCCAGCCGGGTTCCTTCCCACTCTGCACCCCCTCCTGGCTCCTACCCCCCTGAACTGCTTTTCACCTGCCCCGCGTTCCAATCAGGCTGTCTCCCACTGCAGTGAGGCCCACCCGGACTGAGGACACTGGCCAGATGCCTGGTCGGGGGTGCAGACGCCTCTGAGCAGGGCCTCCAGGGGTGCCGGCCCTCCAGCCCATCAAGGGGTGGGAGCAGGGGCTGAGCTCTGTGCCCAGGTTGTTGGCACCCATGAGTGTGCAGGGGAGTGGGGGCCTGAAAGGGTATACATGCTCTGCCGAGGGCTGCATGAGGGACCCAATAAAAATGCGGGTCACGATGTGTTTTACAAGCTTGAGGCCCAGAGGGACGTGAGGGGACCCTGGACAGAGCATAAGCCAGGCTGTGGAGCGGGCCAGGGGTGGGGAAAAGGCTGGGCACGGCTTACACCGTGCTTCCCTGGGACGGCCAGGTCTCCGTGCTCAGGAGCCCACCATGCAGCAGGAGCTGGTGAGGCCCGGGAAGGGAAGGGCCTGAGAGAGCGGGCGTGGGTGAGGAACAGAGCTTGCCGTGCTCTACATGGTGGTGGCCATGACCAGGCCTGGCAGCAACTCCAGGTGGCTGAGAGGGTGTGGGTCCCAGGGGAGAGAGTGCGGCCACCACTAAGAACAGAATCGGGAAGCGGCCGTGGCGGGACTGTCACAGCCCAGTCTGGTGACGGCCGCAGGGGGACTTGAAAGATGAACACCATCCAGTCCTCAGCCCCGAAGCGGGCTTGGACCCGGGGGAGGCGGTGGCGGGAGGCCCAGGCGGACCTCTAGGGTCCTGGTGGAGCCCCTGGGGAGATAACAAGATACCATGGGAAGAAGGAGGGAGAGGTGCTGGGAGCACAATGCAGGGCGGGGATTATCCACAGATGGGGTCGTGGCCGCTCAGCTGCCCTGTCTTCTGTCCACATGGGCTCTTCTGTGAATTCCGGTTCCTGAGAACTCAGCTTGGAAGGGGCATGCAGGGAGGTGGGGGCCACTAGTCCCTGCCGTCTGTGGCCTATTGGGACGCAGGTGGTCAGGTGCCCAGGCCTGTCTGCTCCCCTGCCTGGCTCTTCTCTGTCACTTGACGAGCTCAGAAGGAACTCTCCTGGATGTCTGCACAGCTGTGGGCCATTCAGTCTTAGGCCAGGCCCACCTCTCTGCATTTCAGACCTGCCGGGCCTTGGGACCACTGGCATCTGCTGCGTGGTGTGAGACACCTCTGGGCCAGCGGCCCTGGGGAGGCAGGTGGCCCTTCACACTCTCGCAGGGCTGCTGGCCACAGCGACACCTTTGCCTCTCCCTCTGCGGACTTCAAAAGCCTAATTGCCCTGATTTGGGCTGTTTCCTGGTTTGTTTCTCCAGGTGAGGAGATTCCCCTTCACTTTCACTTTTGTGTGCCGGGGACCGTGGAGCCGGGAGAAGCCAAGGGGCCAGCGATGGGTGTTAGGGAGGGGTTGGGGGCGCAGGTGAGGAGTTAGAGAGAGGTTCCCGCCCCAGCCGGCTCTGCTGCACTGGGGCTCACCAGCAGTCCACCTGGCAGGGGCCAAGGTCCCCCTTCTCCCCGGTGATGCTTATTCTGGGGTGGATGTGAGGAGGCAGGAGAAAGGAGAGGCTGTGCTGGGTAGAAGATGCAGAGGAAGAGAATCTTCCCGCTGTTAAACTGCAGGCCGTCAGCAGCAGGGGTCCAGCAGCAGGGGGGTCCTGCAGGCTGTGTCCTGTGAGTCTTCCCCGCTGGGATGCCTGTGTGCTATTCACGGGCTCCCCCACCCTCCGGGGAAGGCATGTCCTTGCTCCTGCCCCAGAGCCTGCCTGGGGGCAGAGAGGAGATCAAGAAGGGGGCAGTCTCATCCCCAGGGAGCCAGCCTCCCTGAAGAAGATGCTGCTTCTCAGGAAGTAGAGAATCCCCAAGTGTGAGAACCCTACTGAGAACAAAGTGGGGGTGGGGACGGGGGAGGGGTCCTCACCACCCACCCCCGTCAGTGTCAGGTGTGGTTCCAGGCCCCCCTTCCCTGTGTGGCCAAAGGGCTGTCCTGGTCTCTTGATGGGAGGGCGGAGAGAGTCCAGGGACTTCACTTCTCTGCTCCTCCTGGCTCCCCTGAAGAATGTCTGACTCTCCCGAGGGTGTCTCAGGGTGCATTGGGGCGGAACACAGGGGGCCCGGGTGAAAGCGAGGTGTACATGGGTATGAGGTGGGTGGGGACGGAGGCTAGAAGCCCTCAGGGCCGACAAGACAAGGATCCTAGGGCGCGGGGTTGACAGGAGGCTGGTGACATTGACAGGAAGGGCGCGGGGGCGAAGGCGCTTCCTTTTGCGCTCAGGAACGCGGCGGCGGGTTCTAATTAGAAGCCTGGTGCGTGAGCAGGCGGCCCTCGGGGCTCTCTCCGGCGGACGAGCTGCCCTGCTCCCCTGCGGCCGTCTGGACGCGCGTCAGTATCCCCGCGCCCCAAGGCGCACCCGGAGCCTGGCGCTCAGGTGGGCCACCGGGCGCCGCAAGTGTTGCACGGGAAACAGGCACGCGGAAGTCGGGGAGCGCGGAGTGGGGGTCCCTGAAGCGAGTTCCCGTGGCCTCTTCCAGGCCCTTCGGCCGCCTAGGACTGCCCCTTCCCTGCCCGGCTGCTCCTGGCCCGGCGCCCCTACCGCGGGAGCCCCCGCTCCTGAACCATCTCGAAGAGAAAAATTATTATCGGATTAGATGTACCTCAGCTCGCTGAGTCTCCCCCCTTCCCCTTGGCGTAATTATTATAATTCCAGGCTGCCGTCGGAGAAGGATGGGGGGAGTGTGCATGCTTGTGGGGAGGCTTCTCTCCAACTGCGGGTCCTACAGCGCTGCGCCTGGCCCCGTGTGCCCACAGCCCTCCCACTGTGTTCCTCAATCTTGGGCATCTCAGAGCGCCCTTAATTCGGAACTGGGGTGACCCTTGCTTGGTGAGGGCTCTGAGGAATCACAAGCACTTAAGAAAGTATGGCCCCCGTTCCCCTTTCCACAGGATGTGTGCGGTGGAGGCTGGAGGCCTGGGAGAGACGTTTGGGGACCCTTCCTTTGATTTATCTGCACTTCCATCGCCTGGCTGGGGAGGGTCTCACGGAACGCGCCTTTTCCGGCGTGGAGGGCGCAGCACAGCGCTTTCTGATTGAGGGTCCTGGAGCCCCTCACACCCGGTGCTGAGCTTCCCCTTACCTCTCTCTACAGCAGTCCCTCCTTGCCAGGCGGACCCAGGCGGAGGGCTGGCAGAGAGGGGCCCTGGAAACCCCCGCGCCCGGACTGCGGCGGAGAAGCGCGCGGGGCCCAGAGCTGGCCCCCAGTGCGCCCCGCCGCCGGCTCTGCGCCACTCCCCGCCGGGTCCCAGCTTTCTTTACGTAACCACGCGGCTCCGAGCTGTTCAGTCTTGTCTCACCGACTTTGTTTTAAAACGTGTGTGTGTTTGTTTGTAAGATATGGTTTTTGAGGAACGTCCCCAGTGAATTCCCTCTCTCTGGCCCTCTTTCCTCGCCTGTCCCCTGGCCTCGGCGACCGCGCGTGCCGACCTTCTTTCCGCCTTTCCCCAGCCCACTGCTCGCCCCTTCCGACGCCAGGGGCAGCTGGGATCTTCTCCGCAAGCTCCCCCACCCCCGCTCGGGAATCACTGTCTCCGGAAGCCCCGCCACCCACACGTCCCAGCCTGGCCTGAACAGGTCCAACGTGGCCGTCCAGGAAAACCAACCTCGGGCGGCCGGCACGCGGGGCGGGAGCAGAAGGGCGCGGGCTCGGGCCACCGCGGGGTCCCTGCCCGAGGGGCGGTCTGCTGCGGGCGCGGCGCACGGGGGCAGGGGCGAACGCGAGGAGCCTCACTCACCACCAGATCGGGTAGCTGCCTAGAACCTGCTTCAGGCTGCAGAGGAGTAAGAAGTATCCGAGCCGGGCCATCGCCGCGCGGGAGGGCGCGGAGGGCCTGGAGTCCGCCCCGAGAGCGTGAGCGCCGGGGCCGGCCGGGCCCTGGGAGCTGGCGCGGCGGCGTCGCTGGGCCCTCCTGCGGCCGCGGGTGCGCGGGTGTGCGCGGGCTCCGAGGGCGGCGCTGCGCCAGGTGGGCCGGCGGCCGGGCTGCGGGCCGAGGCCCGGGGCGGCGCGGGGCGGCGGGGGCGGGGCAGCGCCGCGGGGGGCGCCCGCCAGGGCCCGGGCCCGGGCGGGGCGGGCAGGGGCGGGCGGGGCCCTGGGAGCCCGAGCGGCGGCGGCGGCGGCGGCGGCGGCGGCTTTGGCCCCCTCCCGCGGCTGTGGGTGCGGGGGTGCCAAGGGCGTGCGGGTGTCCGGGCGCCCAGGTGCGCGCGGGGCGCTGGGGTGAGCCAGATGGCCAGGCGGCCGGCCCGGGGCTGCGCGGTTCGCAGGCGCCCTCCTGGAGCTCCAGGGCCGCGCCCCTCAGGACTCCCGGGCCGCGTCCTAGGTTTCCAGCCCCGCGCGCCCTGCGCTCACCGTGGGACATGCAGTCCTCCTCCCGCCCCTGGTCTATGGCGAGCTGCGTCTGTTGGCCTGCAGGTGGCTGGGCTAGGGCTCCCCTTCATCCATCACCCTGCCCGGGCGCAGGGTTGGGGCGCGAGCCAGCGTTTGTCGAGGGTGCAAGTCCTTTGGCCCCGTCTGCCTGCGGCCGGACTCCTTCCTGAGACCAGGCTGCCCGCGCGTGCGGCGGACAGAGAGGGGCCGGGAGGGGTGCAGCCTGCAGTGGGGACAGCCGCCGGGTGGACCTCCAAGGTGCAGCCACGCGCTTCTGAGTCACAGTTGGGGGCGAGTGGGACTGTGTGGCACAGGGATTGACCCCTCCGTGTTTCTCCCCATCACTCCACCAGGGAAGCCCCTGGCGCTCTGGGTCCGTGGTGAAGCGCAGCGCTGCCCCGGGTTCTGGGATCACCGACCTCCAGGTGTGCCCGCGCTACGCAGCCTGTTCAGCCAGAGGGATTTCTGATTATTGAGGTCAGCTGGAGGAGTCTGCTGAAAGAGAGGGGAAGACCAGAGCGGGAAAGTGACTTGCCCAAGGTCACCAGTGACCAGCCAGCTCTCCAGCTCCCAGTCATTTGCATTTCCCTGTGCAGCCCCGGGAGCCGCCAGGGGAGGTTGTAATTTGTGGAGGGGAAGTGTCCCCAGTCTTCCCCACCCCGCCCCCGGGGGCACCTGATAACAGGGGTGGTTACCAGGCGCTCTCCCACCGCCGCTGGTCCTCCCGCAGTCACTCTGTGACCTGATCTCAGCAGGTATCTTGGTTACCGCGTAGGAATTGAGGGAGGAGGCTCCAGGAGCTTCTGAGAGCTAGGAGCAGCCCCGCACTCGTCAGTGCTGTGTTCTCTGGGGATCCTGCACTGCCCAGCCCGTGGGCCGGGCCTCGAATGCGGCTGCAGAATGTGTGTTGCGGGAGGGAGGTGCGTGGCGAGGCAGGGAGGACATGGGGCTGCTTCTGTGCAGCTTCTCAGGGCCGGGGTGGCTGAGATGTCTGTCCCCAGCTGTATCACTGGCTGGGGGACCGAGGCAGGCACTTTCCACGGTGTGCCCCACTCACAGCTGGCTCTGCATCTGCAGAGGGAGCCTGTGATCCTGGGGACACTGGCTTGGGGGTCACCTGGTGACTATGTCAGGGGTCCCTTCCTGAATTCAGAATGACAGCTGTTCTCTCTGAAGAAAAGTTCCTTTTGCTCCTCACTGCCTGGGGAATCCAGTTCCCTCTACGCATGCCCAGCCGCCCACCCCCTTCTCCGAGGTACTGCAGGCCCCCACCCTCTGAGGGAAGGAGGGAAGAGCTCTGGAATGAAGCCGCGGTGGGGGCAGGGATGGGGAGGGGAGGGAGCGTGTTTGTGCTCCTCTGGACTTTGCCTCGCAGCAAAAATCCCACCCAATTATGGCATTACTGGGGGGAAACCTGGGCTGCGGGTGGGGTGGGTGCCCCAGCCCAGCCTGAGGCACGCAGACTCTTGCCACCCCCACCTCCCCAGCAAGGAGGCTCTGGGATTAGAGCCTTGGTGATGGGGAGCCCTCCAGAGGATGCCAGCTCTGCACACAAAGGAGGGCAGCCGTGCCCACCGGCAGGATGGGCCTCCGTGACCCGGCGACTGAGGGCAGCCTGCTCCGTCCTGCCCTCCTGCTCCTTGGCTTGCCAAGCCCCTCCTCCTGGCTGCTTTCTTCTCCCCCGTCAGGCCCCGTCCTCTGCCCATGCCACCTGACAGTGGGCACACTGAGAGCCGGTCGCTTCCCAGGCTGCAGAAGATGAAGGGAGGAGCAGTCGCCGGGGCCCTAGGCAGGAGCTCCAGCCCGGGCTCTCAGGTGAGGGCTCCTGTTTCTGAAGACTCGGCCTCAGCAACGTGCCTCAGGGTACTGGGAGCCGGGGCAGGCTGCGTGGAGGTGCGGGCTCTGGGGCCAGCTCAGGCACCTGCCTGCACCAGGTGGGCCTCCTTCCCCTGTGAGCCTCCTGGGAGCCTCAGCTCCTGAGCAGCCAAGTCAGTGGGGCTGGGCCGGGTGGGGTGGGACCCCAGCTGGGTGGCAGGGGCCTGAGGGGCTGCCCTGAGTGTCTTCGAGGCTCGGGTGGTGCTGGGACAGCACCTCTGGGCCCTTGCCTGCGTGCAGCGGAAGGCGAGGGGCCTCCCTGGAAGCGCCCTCTGCTGGCACCTAACGGGAGCTGTCCCTGACCAGCCTGCGAGGTCTGAGTCCCACCTGAGCACTGCCCCTGGGACTGGGAGGGCGCTGGTGTGGGGGTCAGGGCATCGGGCAAGCTCCTGGGGGCATGCCGGGTGGGTGCTGATAGGTGACTGAGACTCTGTCTCCACAGACCTCCCTGTTGGCCGGGACAAAGACCCGCGTTCCGACAGGTGGGAAGGGGGAGGTGGGTGAGACCTTACAAGCCGGCATCAGAAAGGGCCGTGGTCCTGAGAGGGGGGTGGTGTGAGAAGGCCTGGCAGCCAGGCAGGTCTGGAGCTGAGCCCTGAGCCGCCAGCCACGTGTTTGATGAAGCAAAACTCCCCATGTATGGATGATGCTGGAGGGCCCAGGGAGGTGCTCCTTCCAGAACAGGTCTCCTGGGGATAGAGGTGCTGCCCACCCCAGGAGCTCTGGAAGACCTCTGCTTGGGTGGGGTGAGCCATGTGGGAAGGCGCCTGTGCTGGGCAGGTTGCAGTGTGAGGTAGTGAGTTCCCTGTTTACAGCGGCTGTGAATCCGTTATGGGTGGAGCAAGGCAGGATTTCAGATACTAACTGGTTATCTTTTGCTTCCTTCATTTTCCTCTTTTGAGCAAAAAGAAGTTGGGGGAAAGCAGGGAAGGGGTTTGGGCAGAAAGAGAGTTCAAGGCTCTGGGGGCTTTCTGGCTGAGGGACCCCAGAAGGAGCTGCAGCCGGATGGGGTAGTGGTCTAGGGTCAGAAGACAGAGTGCCCTCCACACTCGCCCTTGGCTCCACTGGAAGTTGGTCCCTTCTAGAAACTTCCCTGACCCTTGTGGGGGTCACTCTTCAAACGCCTCTTCCACAAGGAGTGGGTTCTTCAGGTCAAAACTTTCAATTGGCCAGGTGCGGTGGTGCACACCTGTAATCCCAGCACTTTGGGAGGCTGAGATGGGAGGACCACCTGGCTGAGGAGTTGAAGCCTGCACGGAGCTGTGATTGCATCACTGCACTCCAGCCTGGGTGACAGAGTGAGACACTGACTCTAAATAAAATAAAATAAACCAAGAAAACAACTTATAGCCATTTTTTCCCCCATCTCCTCAGGCTAAAAGAAATACCTAAGGGCTTTGTTTATTAAGTAATTAGGTCCAACAACTGAATGATTAGTAGCTATTTGAAATTTTCACAGTAGTTAAAATAAATGAATTATATTGTATTCCAGGTGATGTGACACAGGGCAGCTGACCTGTGAACAGCACAGGTGTGCCCGGTGTGGGTCACTCACACAGGGACTTCTCCCGCCTCCGCCACCCTGCCACCACGAGACTGAGCCCACCTTGTCTTCCTCTGCAGCCCCTCCACAGAGCACCTCCGTGAGGACCCACTGCCACCTCATCAACTGTGAATCTGGTTTCTTTTCTGGTTTTGTTGAGCAGGAGTTTCCTTTCTCCAGCTGAGTGTGTGGAAGGAACACAGTGGAGGGCACACGTGGCCTGCATCCTATGTCCTGATGGTATGTGGACTTGCAAGGCTTCTGGTCACCAGGAAGCTGTTAGTAGTTTCGTTTTCGGGGAGTCAAAAGTTATACTCATGTTTTGGATTTTGCAGGGGATAGGTACCCCTAACCCCCATGTCATTCAAGACTCAATTGTACTTTCTTTAAAAATATATATATTTTTTTGGTAGGGACAAGGGTCTCACCATGGTGCCCAGGCTGGTGGTCTTGAACCCCTGGGCTCCAGTCACCCTCCACCTTGGCCTCCCCGAGACCTAGGATTATAGGTGTGATATTCTGCAACACCCTGGGAATTTGCTGTGGCGTCCCAGGGTACCTTAGCACACAGTTTGGGAACTGCAGCTGGAAAGAGAGCAGCCAGGGCTGGGCCTGAGACTCGCAGGTCAGCAGAACAGAGACAAGGACAATGGCCTGGCCACCCACTTCCCAGAGCCGCTGTGGCGAGGTGGGCTCTCTGGGACCTGTCTGCCTCCCGCCTCCTGTCTATGGCCGTCCTGTCTATCTGTTGGTCTCCGTGTGTCTTCTGTCTCAGCCGCTGAGCCCCGCTGCGCAGCCGTGAACTGCTCTTCCTGTCTGCAGCCCTTCTCTGCACTCCCCATTTCTGTCCTCCGCCCCGTCTCCACCTTTGTTGGCGTTGTTCAGCCCAGGCACTGTGGGAATTGCCTCCTCCACGTTAACTTCGCCAGGAGAGCCCCCATGGACATTCCTGATGCAGGTATGTCCTGGCGGGGCTTGGCAGGTGCGGCTGTGAGCTCAGGGCTTTCTGTCTTCCTGCGGGTCACCTGCCCACTGTGGGAGGCTGTGTGTGGGGTCTGTGTATCTGTGGCTCTGAGTTCCTGCTGTGCATTTACCTGGACAGCGGTCCCCGTGGCCCCTGCCCAGGGCAGGTCCAGCCTGCAGAGGTTGTTGTTCTGCCCCCG